ATATATATATATATATATATATATATATATATATATATATATATATATATATATATATGTGTGTGTGTGTGGGTTGTCAAAGTAAATAAATCATTTTACTTATCAGCAGTATTTATTTATTAAAATGAAAAAGATCACAAATAAATATGACGATGGAAATGTGGACTAACTAATATTGCATTTTACAACTTAAATGTACAGAAACAAAAACAATATACAGGGTAAGACGTACGAAAAGAAAAATATAAGTAGAACACATGAAAGTGAATAAAAATTGTATAAGTCATTTTTCAAATAACCACGTAAAGTTTCGAGATATTAATTAAAATAGTCGGGCATAGAGTGCGGCGACACGGCAGGCGGGACATACAGCTCGCCGCGGCCGGCGAAAAAAAATGGACGATTGCTCGCGGGCCTATCTTATAGGCCAGAGAGGTAGATCATTTGGCATACTGAAATGAGTAGCTCCGTGTGTGCATCCGTGTACGTGTGCGTTCTTCCATTTTCTTTGTCGGCCGCCGCGAGCTGTATGTCTCGCCTGTCACGTCGCCGTGCTCTGATATGCCCAACTATTTTAATTAATATCTCAAAATTTTACGTGGTTGTTTGAAAAATGAACTATACACATTTTTGTTCACTTTTATGTGTTCTACTTATATTTTTCTTTTCGTACGTCTTACACGAGACATCCTATATAACGTAATGCTTATGAGATAAAAATAATAAAGCAAATGAAAAATATCCTAACAAATATATCAAACTTCTTAACAAAACATTAAGAACGATCATGAAAGTATATCCTGTATCTATCATGTTTTTGTTGGATAATAATTTTTATAATACTTAAAATAATTTAACATATAAATGTTTTTAAATATTGATAGATTTTAATTAAATATTAATATTATACTAAAATAAATAATTAAGATTAATAATAATAATTTGCCGTGTATATGTCCGGATATAGGGACATGTCTGGCTATTGGTACCTTTACTTTTTGGCACTTTGAAAAACTATGTGCAAAGTTTTAACATTTTTTCTTCTGATGTTTTGAAGGCGATTCGTCCGATTTATGATGATCTTTTAAAAGAAGAATTGCTGAAACGTTGTCTTGATAACATAACAATAAACGATAACATGTACGTTGGAAAAAACAATATTATCTATATGTAAACTTATTGCAAAATTTCAAACGCGTTTTCTCGAAACCATGTTACTCAAACTAGGCACGGATTTTTCTCGAAAATGACGTAACCAATTTGAATTGGGTTTTTTCCTATCTATTCTACATTAAAAATTTTACATCTTATCGGATGCTTCTTTTATAATATTTTAATATTTTTTATAATTTTCTTATGTTATAAAATAAAAATTTACCTGAAAAATTAATATCAAAATTTCAATAGTCCGCCAAATTTTATTAAAAATTTAAAAGATCCCATCCGATAAAATGTGTAAAATATAACTTTTAAAGATATTTAATTTTTTTGTTTCAGACAAAGCATGCAGAAGATTTTCCCGTGCCTAACAAAAATAAAATTTCAGGAAGGGCTAAAGATGTATGCGCATACATGGTTGTATGCTGTAAAAAATAAATAAACAAAAATGTATAAATGTATATATAGTAAAAAGTTCATACTTTAAGCCCTAAAAAACCTGAACTATCTTTTTTAGTTAAATAGAAAATATTTTAAGCCCTAAAAAACCTGATGCTATCTTTTTTAGTTAAATAGAAAAAAATTAATAAAATATGCTAATTTTTGAGGTCGAGATATGTTTATACCTTCTTATGGTAAACATAAAACTAGATAAGTCAATTATAAACTTGCGATAATAATTTAATAATTTATATAATACATTGCAGAGAATTCTTCTTCGCGAGAATTTGTTAAAACTACACTCTCTTACTTATATTTCATTGCTCTTCTCTTCAAACATTATTCGCATTGTTGTGAAGTACGAGAATATAGTTGATAGATACTGGAACATTAATGATATCAAAAATATGTTTTTTTCACAGGAGATAATTACATATACGCGTGCATATACGTACACATACACATGCATTTATTTTAGGTGTATAAAATGTGCATATTTGCAAGTCATTGAGTAACTGAGTAATCATGGCAATAATTAAAGTTATTGTCTCACCGACGCGTAGTAACGTAAGGATAACGAAGGCAAACCGCATGGTAACGCAACAATTATTGGTTTTTGACTTCTTAGTATAACCATTTGTAAGTTCTTCCGGAGATTGTTTGATTCATTGTACCATTCTGTTTCAAAGGCTGCTTGTGCCACATCATTGGTCTAGAGAACATACCATGGAATAATGACATTATTTTATGAACATAATAATATCTTTCTTTACGAATAATGGACTTACTACATGGATTAAATGTTCGGCAGGCCACGCATACATAAATACTTCTGATAATGCGCTGAAGGCTAAGAAGATAAATTGAATTTTCAATGGCAATGATACTCCCTGTTTAGATACATAAAGGTGATACAAAATTATGTCATAATTCCAAAATTCTTCCTCCATATGAGGTGTGTAATAAAACGCTAGGATCGATAGGTTTATGGAATTATACTTACTGTAATGAAAATAAGACTGAATACTATCATCGATACAGTACTGAAAAGCACTGTACCCAATGCATAGGGACGAACTGTAACTGCAACTTCCGATGCGTATCTATAATATTATATTTCATAATTTTGAGGGGAATTTTGCTTTACATATACACTGTCATATTTACTAGATTGTACTTATCTATATACGTATTAAACGATAACTGAATGTTATGAAAATATAAAGTATATATCACTTATTAAAAAACATAACTAAAAAATTATGATTTTTCAAAAAACTGTTATTCATAAAAAATATAAATGGAAACCGTTCTTTTTATAGTAATAAGTAAAAGATGGTAACATTTTAATTTATATCATTGTTGCAGCAAATGAGCGTTATATTATACAGGATGAGTTATTTTAAGTTACCCACCCAAATAACCCTTTCTTATTTTTTATTAAATACAGAAAAATGTTTTAGACAAAAGTTGTATGGTTTAAAGGATAACATATGATTCCGATGTGAATTATATGGTAGATATTATCGTTTTTAGGAAATTTTAAAGGTGACTAATTTCTTAAATGGGACTTGATTTCTTTCTTGAGATATAAGATGTCGTCGAGACGTTCTTAAAACACCCCCAATAATTGTTTTTTGCATAAGCCGCTTCAGAGATATAAAGCTTCAAAGTTTATAAAGCCATTGGCTTTACATGTATGGTTCGTACAAAAAGCTTTAATAATTGTTTTAAACTCATATACCACTATTTATCCACTATTTCTATTCATATTTCTATTCTCTTTGGGGTGCTTGATTAGCGTGAGTCTCATCACATCGTGAGAGGCAAAGATATATATATATATATATACACATGCAGGGTGTCCCAGATTCGTCTCCCGCAATGTTCGTGCAAATATAGAACGAATTGAGGTGAACATATATTCTGTCAAATAAATACCGGGAATTGTCATTTAAAAAATCATTTAAATCATTTAAATCATTTAAAAAACCCGTGTAAAAGATATGAAAACAAGTTTTTTGCTGTTAGTTGGTACTAATGTATCTAATTGTCACGTAGATTTTTGGTCATCTGTCAAACAGTTTGTTTACAGCTGTTGGTTTTGCTAATCGACCTCAAGTGTACTCTGCGATTTTTAAAATGGATAAAAATATCGAACAAAGAGTTTTCTTCAAATTTTGTTTGGCAACGTAATTTCTTGTGCTGGGTCGTTGAAAATGTTGAAGAAGGCTTACGGTAAGTCAGCTTTATCGAAAATACGAGCATATGAGTGGTACAAAGTATTCAAAGAAAGCCGAGAAGTGGTTGCTTCGTTCCGGTCGATCTTCAACGTCTTTGATTGACGAAAACATCGACAAAGTGAAGAAAATGGTGATAGAAAATCGTCGTTCAAGTTTAAGAGAGTTGGCTCAGCATCTGGATATGTCTTATGAATCCGTTCGCACTATTTTAGTTCATGTTTTGAGTATGAGACGCTTCGCGGCACGGCATGAAAGAATTGAATGCGCCGTCCCACACATTGACACTTGTACGGAAATTTTTGATCAAAAACTGAACAAATGTCATCGACTCAGTACAGTATTCACCAGATATGGTCCCGTGTGACTTTTTCCTGTTCCCCAAATTCAAATTACCACTTCGTGGAAGATGTTTTGAGTCCACTCTTACGAAAAAACATTTAATTTTTGGTGTAAAAATACTCTCGAAAGAACCCTCAAATGTTTAGTGTAAATTCGGATCGTTAATTGACGGTCAACACCGAAATGAGGGTTAACCTTAAAAATCTTAAATAAGTGTAAGCCCTAAACGGAAAAATATATCTTGTAGAAACGATTGCAACTAGTCAGCTTATGTTGATTTTAAATGAAACTTAGCTCTTTTATCTGATTTCTCACTACTTTCATACCTGAACATTTACTCAGTACTGGCTGGTCGCGAACTCAAGACCTCAGACATCTCCAAGTTCCTAGTCTACTACTTAGGCTGCTGCGTTATTTCTTCAACTGATACTAAGTGCTTTTTATTATCCCCATATGTGTAGCCGAAGTATTAATTATAGTTTTCTTATAATATTATTTAGTATAATCACAAAATAAACTATTTGTACATGAAATATTTCATATAATAAAGGAGAAGTCAGAGATGTATTCATAAAACATTCCCAGATAGCCAAACCTGCGTGAGCAGATTTTGCGCAGAGTTTGTCAACAGTGTCTGTAGACAAAATGGCAACAGATTGCATGCAGAATCTGTTCTGACGACAGATTGGTGACAGACTGCAGAGCGTGCAAAGCCTGTCGACAGACTCTGACGACAGACTGACAGCAGATTGCGCACATATTTTGTTTCCTAGATAGGCTATTTAATTATATCAAGGGCCATATGTACGCTATTAAATGAGGCAGCTTTACATACACACCATGTAAAACTTCGAGAGAAGTCAAGATAATTATATAGTGCAATAATTGTACACATATAATTGTACACATATAACAATAAAAAACAATTTTTACTTTTTAAAATGGTATTACACATTTCTGATAAAAAATAATAACAATAATAGAGAAATAACGAGTAGAAGTATAAAATAGTACAATGGTTAGATAGCCATTTAAAGGCGTACATATGCCATCCCTAGTAAAAATTGTTCTCATAATTTTTCATACAATTTCTCATTTTATTATTTTTTTAAATATTATTATGTCATTAAATCTGAACGATTTAATCGTCATGCAATAAGTACTGAAGGCAGCAGCACCGAATAAAATATTAGTCTCGCTATGTAAATAACTTTTACAGAATTTTTGTGATGGTTTATTTGAAAATATATCATGTTTCAATTTTGATAAAACTTAATACAATCTGAACAGGACGATTGACCAAATTAATTCGCACATGTAAAAGTATTTTATTAGCATGATGGAAAAATGTCATTATCTGCTGTTTTATTGCAATAATGTTCTATACAGTTCTTGGTAGAAAATTAATTTCGAATTATCGTGCCGGTCTCTCTTACATTATTTATACGCTAAACGGTTTTGTCTATATTTTGCGGCTTAAAACGCGAACAAACTCTAAGATTTTTCTTCCTTAAACTTTAAATGGGCAATGTAAAGCACTTTTTATCAAGTGAGGAATTGGCGTAGTGTCTAAGGCGACGGACGATTATCCAAAAGATATATCTTCGGTTCAAGTTCAAATTTCACCAAAGAAAATCTTAAACATTATGAAAAAATAATATAGAAAAACTTTATTTTCATTGTATTTTACGAGTACTTATGAATATTTATGAGAAAGCGCTTATTCTATGAGTAATTATAAAAAATTATGAGAAAATTTTCTATCAAAAATTTAATTAAAGAACGTACGAAACGATAAGATCTGCACGCAATCTGCGCGCAATCTGCCGTCAGAGTCTGTTGGCAGGCTTTGCGCGCAATCTGTCGCCAGTCTGTCGTCAGAGTCTATTCGCAGACCCTGTTAACAGTCTGACGGCAAATTGGGGACGCAGATGTCTATGGATCTGTCGACAGATCCTGTCGCCAGTCTGACGTCAGTCTGCGCGCAGATTGCTTACTGGGTTTATGTAAAATATGTTTACCTAGGTGTTGAGATTAAAAAACATTATAATTAAAAATCATTTGAAGAAACATTTTTAAAACGTTTTTTAATGTTTTTTGACGTTTGGAAAAATGTTTTGATTTTTAATATTTAATAAACGTTTATTTTAACATTTAGAAAATATTTTTTGAATGTTAAATGTTAACATTTAAACGTTTTTTAAATGTTAAAATAAATTTTTATTAAATATTAAAAAACAAAACAATCTTCCAAACAATTTTCCAAACG